AAAAAAAAGTGTCAGTGGCTAACTGTCTAGACCAAATGATGTTGCAGAGGAAACATTGGCTTACTTGATCTCCTGAATCATTCCTAGTTTAGGTAGAAGGTCCAGAATCTTCTTCAGGCCCTTGTTACCCAGTGAGTTGTTGGACAAACTGAGAGATGAGAAAAACAGGTTTCATTAATGCCATACTTACATAAAGAATTGTGGGGCTATCAACTCAATCTGCTGTAAGGTTATTGACTGTATACTTGATACTTACTCTACAAGGGTTATGTAGGTAAAGCCCCCGAGTTTATTACACAGGCTGATTACATTGGAAACATTGATGTTACACTGCTTTAACCTATAAAGAAACAATTAAACAGTTAATTCCTGTCAGTTCAGTATTTGGTTTGGAAAATATCACTGAAACAATGGCAGTGACATGGCAGTCAATTTCATTTGACAGAATGTCTGTGAATGGCCTTTCACATTTTATTCCTGATTAAAACAACTTTTGGATATTCAAGTTCGCTCTTTATTTGTGTTTTGCATCACATTTGTCTTTTTTGTTTGCCGTCTTGAATATAAGCAATGATTTGCCTGTAATTGCATAACTTCTGCCAACCCTACTACCCTTTCCACCAAATTTCTGACTCTGTCCTCTAATTCTCCTAAAATATTGCCCAGTGGTGAACACTTGGACTTTATAGACACAATACACCATCTTATCAAACAAAACAAGATGAAAGCAAGGCTCATTCAGTATTTTATAAAGAATCCATAAAGTCATTGTTAACTTTAAGTACTTTGTAACTAAGGATTAATTTGTTTTCCTTTATCTAAAAAGCAATAACAACATATTAAAGAATTCAGTACTTACATTACATTCTTTGGCTCTTCTGTATTATTCAAATCTGTGTTTTCACTAAGGCAGAGAAAGTGAGAAATAAGATTTTGTTGTTTCATTATATTCAAATGTTTTTTTGTATTTTATTTATTGCTTTGAGTGACCACCAAACTGTGCAGTCATTTTAGACTGTACTCAGTCAGGTTAAAACTATAAACTTACTACCAAATTAAAAAAGCCCATGCACATTTTCTATCATCTAACATCGATCATACTTGATCTCTTTGAAGGCAGTGCATTACACAGCAATACCTGGCCAACTGTACAATGCACAGACAAAGAAACCACAATAGATGTACAAACAGGAAATGTGAAATACAAAATACGTTTTGGAGTTCTGGGGTTTTACCCACCCTTTGAGAATAACCCAGCTAATAGCGTTTTAACACATCAGTCAGCACTCACCAGACTTTATCAGAGCTTTGTGAGAAGAAAAGGCTGATGTCTTTATTGGCCCTGTATAGAATGAAACAACTGTGAACATCCCATGGAAATGGACCTAAATGGGCAGGTCATGTGACATGTCCACATCTCTTAAAAAACCATGAACAAAACTACACAAGGTAGAAGAAAATACAACTTAGACTACAATAAATACAGGTCAAAATGTGGAGAAATTAATCTTATTTTTATTTAGTATATTAACATTACGATTTTAAGGCCATATTTATGGGTCACCTTTTATGTAAAACATAAAATCAGTTAAGAATCAAGGATCTAAACTGTGTGGTAAATGTTTCTCATTTTCCATTTTCATTCAAATGTCTTTGACAAGCCAACAAATCAACATACTCAACATGAACTTTCTGAACAGAGTTGCAGGCAGACATTCTCTCAAGGAGTGTGAGGATTCCATCTGTGGAGATGCTGTTCTTCCCCATCCTAAATAAAAGTGTAAGAAGAATGCACCAGACTTACTATATACTAATATCTAAATAAACAAAAGAAAGCCAAGCAGTTAACAGACTATAGCCAGGTTTTAAAATGTAAAACACACTACTTACAAGACAGAGACAATGTTGGGCAGTCTGCATAGTGTTTCCGCAATCTCTGTTATACCTTCATCTTTCAAAGAGTTATCACTAACACTGTCAGATAAACAGAACAGATTGATTGACACAGACAGACACGCATGACAGATCACCAAGACCACCTACCTTTTTGGAAACAAACTGTGTCCAAATGTGTGATTTCAAAAATAAGCAGAAACATACAACAGGAATGTATTTGAATATTTAAAGCAATCATGTCAGGCCAATTACTTTAGGTGAGTGATGTGTGGACAATCCTTTAAAGCCCTGGCAAGTTTAGCAGCTCCAACATCAGTGAGACCACCACTGATAAAACTGTAATCAGAGATAAACATAAACCAGTGCAAAACACACTGCAAGGCAATACTGAGACAAATCGCATAAAGGACACAACAGATATTTTGTTGGATATAAGACTTACTCTAATTTCTGCAAAGCCTGGAGTTTACGCAGGATACCACACAAAGCCTCTGCAAACTTGTCATCATATTTCCGACTACGGAAACTTAAATAAATAATATATTTAACAAACTGAGTACATCAACATAACCAGATTAAAGACTACAAAATCATGTATTACTGTTACAACTCCGGCAGAAACCCACAAGCTGATAAATATTTTGATGTTATTAAAAATGGTCGATATTTAAAGTCTATACTATTTTGTCTAAATAAATGTCAAATTAAACACTATCGCTTTAAAATGCAAGTTTAGGCAGTATGAAAAATGGATATTGATTCCGAGAAAAGTGTTGTTAAAGTGTTGTTAAAATATTAGTGTTTTTAAACATTAACTTGCACACACATTAGAGGACGGCAAAGGTAATCAAAATGTAAAAATAGGAGAAATGAGCACACAATTAAAAATCCAATATCAGCCCGTATGAACCAATACAGATAAATTAACATTCGGCTATCAGCTGAGTACCAATATCATAGCACTATATCAGCTGCCATATGGGCACCAATTTACTACACATCTCATG